TATATATGTTTGAGATATTACTAGATTTTAATATTAATTCATGTAATTCTAATTTGTATCTCATTAAAATAGAAAAAGAGAAGTTGGACCAAGTCATAGTGAAGTGGCATTGTAAGGTGTCAGTTTTCTCTTGTTGACTCTCTGTATCAGAAAACTATATAGCTTGCTAACAATTGTTGTAATTTCTCTATACTGCTTTTAGTTTATAAGATTGTATTTAGTGATGACATAGCTAAGAAATAATTACAAGGTAGCAACAACATGCATTTTTTTATGCTAAAATATAATTGTTTTAATTTTCCATATGGGCAACCTTAATATATATATATATTAAGTATAAAAGAGTCTTAATCAGTTTGTTAAGTATGTGTGCACAAGTTATGGTGACTCTTCTTATATCGGAATTCAATTCTTATCCATCAAAAATAAATAAAAAAACTATCGAGTTTTTTTTTTCAGTAATAAATTATCAAGAGTCAACTAAAATAAATTAATAACCTGATTTCCGTCGTTCCTATTCTTAAACTTGTTTATAGAAAATATTAAGTTTGGGAGAAACAAGGTTTATTTTGAAATCATTAGTCTAGATTGATGTGAAATATCATGTTTGATTTATTTTTGTTATAAAATTAATTGATAGAAAAATAGTTATTAAAATAAGTTGGATTCCGAGTTAATTCGAAAAGTTATAATTTAAATTGAATTGAATTATTTTTATCTAGTTCATTTGGCTTTCGATTTAAGTATATTTAATTCGATTGGTTGATTTTATGAAAGTAATTAGTCATATTTGATTAATAATTTAAGTTTAGTCACCAAGAGATAACTCACTCAACCAAAGTGATTTGTGTTTAATTTATGACTTTGAAAAAATGTTGAAATCTCAATTTGAAAGGTGATAAAAATCTATTCAATATTTATCAAACCTCTAAAGATAAATTTTTATAAAGATAGAACTTATTAGTAAAAATAAAAGATAATAATATCACCTATGCATATTTGACAACTCAAAATAATGACTTATTATAATCATATTTATTTTATTTTTTAATACACATTATATATACATATTATTATAAAAAATTGTAAATTGGGTACCATTTTCGAAAAAGCAATAATAATCTTCTTCACAATAGAAAAAGTTGTCTACAAAATTTTTGTCCTGTCCAATTCTTATAAAAACAGAAAAAAGAAAATAATGAACCCGTTGAATAGTTCCATAGATTAATGTCCAAAAAGTAAGCTCAAATAATGACATACACTGTCTCTTGGCTTGCACATATTGCTTACTATAACTATTTTCTCTCATTTTTTGTTATCAAATTAGTATAATTTTTCAAACAGTTACCTGGTTCATCTTTTATATATTAATTTGTCTATCTCATTAGGCCAAAAAAACTCCTAATTAATTGACATAAAATGAATTGTAGTCTTAGTTCAATTATTAATTTTCCGTTACAAGGTACACGCAAGTTTTGGCCTCTGAATAAAATAATGTGAATACAGAATTTTTTTCCCACTCTACTTACCATGCTTAACGCGTAACTAAAGTCAACTCAAGCTTAAGACAACATAGTTTGGTGCTCAACACGAACATGAATTTTGAAGACTAACATGGAAAACCCAAAGTAGTACTAAGAGAGAATCATCATTCAAACAACACCAAGTTTCCCACATTCATGGGTTTTCCAACTAGCATCAATCACGTTTTTTTGCTCATACTTTCCAGCTTCTGTTTAGGTGTAAGCTCTTTGAATGATACCATCACATCAACCAGATTCATCAGGGACTCTGATTCTCAGACTATAAGCTCAAGCAACGGTGACTTCAAGCTTGGATTTTTCAGCCCTGGAAACTCCACACATCGCTATGTTGCAATCTGGTATCTCTCTCAAACCTACATCATATGGGTAGGAAATAGAGATCAACCACTGAATGATTCATCTGGGGTGTTGAAAATTCACAAGGATGGGAATCTTGTGGTGCTGAATGGAAAAAATAGTGTGATATGGTCAACAAATATATCGGTTAGTGCTACCAACACTACTGCTCAACTTGACAATTCAGGAAATCTGATCCTGCGTGGTGACTCAAGTTTAACACCATTTTGGGACAGTTTCACACACCCTGCTGATATTGCTGTGCCACAGATGAAAATTGCGACCAATAGGATCACTGGTAAGCCACCATACTTTCATTTACTATTGTATGTGTGTTTTCTTTTTATGCCATCCCATTGTGGAAGTATGCACAAGTTTTCTCTTTCAATCACGGTTTTTTCTTTTCCACACATTGATTGAAAGACTTGATTATGATATTATACTCTTTGATACTTCATCATGTGAAAATATCCAAACTTTATGTGAAACAAAAGAACATGTAAAGGAAGATCTGATGTGGAATCTGTGGATCATAACAGGTAAGAAAATTGAGTATGTGTCATGGAAAAGCAGTTCTGATCCTTCATCTGGGTACATCACTGGGAGCCTTGAAAGGTTGGATGCACCAGAAGTGTTTTTCTGGTACAACAAAACAACGCCATATTGGAGAACTGGTCCATGGAATGGAAGAGTTTTCCTTGGTTCACCAAGAATGTTAACTGAGTATTTATATGGGTGGCGTTTTGAGCCTAATGATAATGGAAATGCATATCTAACATACAACTTTGAAAAACCTGCAATGTTTGGAATCCTTACCANAAGTGTATGTTATTGTAACTACTTATTTATAAGAATTGAAAAATATATTTAAAATATTAATTTTCTAGAATTTTTAAATTGTTAAAAAGGCAATTCTTTTAATTACTCAATCAATCCCATTTAACTATGTCCAATTGTAACTAAATTCTAGAACTGTCAAAACAGGCTACCCAGCCCGACCCGGTCTGGTCCACCACGGGTTGGTTACTTAGTGAGTCAACCCAACCCGGCTCATTTATTAGCAAGTCAGAAAAATTCGAACCCGGCTCGACCCACCACGGGTTGGTGAGTAAACGGGTTGGCTCACTGGTTCACTTAATTACAATTTTTTTTTTAAATAAAAAAATTACAAACTTTCTATAATTTAAATCTAAACAAATTTCACTCCCAAACATGGGTGTTTAATTAATTTTGAAAATAAAGAACTTAAATAATTTTTTGAAGCAAAAACAAAATAATAAATCTTTTTTTATAAAATTAAAATTAAATTTTAATAAAATAAAATAAAATTAGGTAGGTAGGTTGGTGGATCAAAGGCTCACCACAGGTTCAATCCGCATGAGCGAGTTTAAATGAGCTAGGTTGAAATCTGACCCGCATAAAAAAAATACAATTTTTTCAAACTCAACCTAGCTCAAACCCGTGGTGGGCCGGATTAGCCCGCGGGTTGTGACCTATTTTTGCAACTCTACTAAATTCTATTATAACTTAATTATGTTGATAGTTTAAAAAAAAAGTAAATCTAATTCAAGTAATTGACCCAATCAGATTTAATTAGGATTGATTTCATCGTTTGCATTCCTACTTTTACTTTTCAATTGTATGTAATAATTTAACCTCATTAATTAATATAAGCTTATCATAGTTCTTCAAAATCAATTTCTACATCATTCCTCTTTGAGTCCACCCTAGGTCTACGCAGTCAAATCGTGTAAAAGAGTTAATGTATTTTGTTTTTCATCTCCATTCTTAGTGCACATTCATTATTACAGAAAAAAAAATTATAACACTTTGAACTCTAAAATTTTAATATAATATATATATATATATATATATATATATATATTACTTATATAATATTTATCTTTTTCATTATAACTAAATTTAAGATTTTTCAAAAAAAAATGAGAAATTGAACACTAATAAAACATGAATAAATACGTATAAAAAAATTATAGTATCATTTTCAACTCAAAACTTTAAAATAATAATTTATAAGTTTTTTTTATTTATATATTGGTCATTTTATTTTTTGTATTTAATATAAAACTTCTAGTTTATCTTGAATTTCAGTATCATATGTATGTCTTGGAAATCTTGTTGCTTAAAAATCATTCCAGAACACATGATTTTGTTCTTGGAAAATCGTTTCAAATATAATAGAAAAGCTTCTGAGTT